TTTTCTAATAGGCTAATAATAATAATAATAATAATAATAATAATAGTAGCCTAATAATTATTATTATTATTATTATTTGCCTATTAGAAAATCTCTTTATTTCTTTTTGTTCGTATTTCGATTTGTTGTTAAATCAAACATCAGTCATTCAAATAAAGAAATATTAAGCCCAGAGACGATTATTCAAAAATAACCATTTATTTGAATCAAGCCGCAATTCGCATCGTGTTCTTCTTATGGGTAAAATTCCTGGCTTTGCTTTATACTGAAGCAATAGGCTGCGCTGCGCCTGGGTGTGAGCACAAAATACAGATGAGCTCAGACGGGAAAGACTGTACAGTACCTCTTGTTGGACTTAGGCTATACGAATTAAATAACACAATTTTGTTTTCAATTGTTTTATTTAATTTGACCTTTAGACATAACAAGGTGTGCCAGAAAGCGCACCCTGTTATTTTACAAAAGCAATTTGTAACCTTTTTGTTGTTATTGTGGAAGTATAGAAAATAAAGCAGACATTTCTTTCCTCTGTCATCACAGTGTAGCCCAAGGGATCGCGCCGGTGCCGCCGAACCGAGAAGAGCAGTGTTGTGCTTTAGCCTATATGAGATGTATATTTGCAAGAATAGCCAGCCAGACAGTTTGAAGAAACGTTATTGTGACTAATTTGCAGAGCGGTACATGAGATGAACTCTTATTCTGTGTGATGGGATAGACAGTAAAGACAGGCTGAGAGGAAAAGTGGCATTTTTAGGGCCGCCCAAGCACAAATATCAAGCAAATTTTTTAACCCACGAACAAAAAAAATCTAGCTTATTTTTTGTTTGCCAAACAGAATGAAATAATATTTACTATTAGCCTATTAGAAAATCTCTATTTCTTTTTTAAAAAATAACTGTTTTGATCTGATCATAGCCTAAACGAGTCATGGGTCTGAGTGCAGTTATTGGCTAGCACTATATTGTAGACAGATTGGAGATTAATCCTAATAAACATGCCGCTACAATTAAAACCATTACATTAAAATACATTTAAAATAGTGTATTTCAGTAATTTCAGCAGCGTGCAGATCCTAGTTTATGTCAGACTGTGGCGACAGTAGCTTAGCGCGCTCACATAATGTAGGCCTACCATATATCTATAACAGGAAAACATCATTTTTATGACATGTTATTACGATAAAAAAAATTGTTTTAACGAGATAATTATGTTGTATTAACGACATAACATCTAGTTTTTATGAGAAAAGATGTCATTTTAACTAGAAAACATCTGGTTATGAGAAAAGATGTCCTTAAAACACACTCGTTATTATGACATAATTGAGTGGGGGGAAAAATGTGTGGCAACAATGAGTCACCGTACAGAAGAGTACGGTATTTGGATATTAAGTATTATGAAGGATGTTTTGAAGGATGAAGGACTTTGGAAGAGAGAATAAGTTTGAGTTTTTGAAAAAAAATCCCGCACTTCAAAATGCTCATAGGTTTCCATACGCCACAAAACCAGTTATGCTTTTGTATACAACTATAGTAGAAGTAGACTATGCTTTTAATTTCTTCCATTTAAAAGGATTAGTAATGGTGTCAAATGCTTTCAAAGTATAAAATGTGTAACACATTACAAAGACTAGTTATTTTAAACAAAACCTCCAGTTTTCTTACAAATCAGTTTCAAGTACAGTATCAAACCTTTAAACATGCACATTTTTATTCACTAGAATTATGTTTGTGTAAAACCCCGCTTAAAAAAAAAAATGGTGTGCTGTTTTAGTGAAAAAAAAAAAACACTATACTCATGTGTTGAATTCTGTTGTGCAATATGCCACATTTTAAGGTGTGAGCCAAGCGTAATTTTTTTGGACAAATTTAACTTATTTATATGATTAAATAAAACATGCTTTTGTTCTGACTTTTTTTTTTTTTTTTATACATGCACAATACAAAAATGTTGACCAGTTTTTCAACAAGGTTTGATACAAGAGTGCAAGGATTAATGGACAAACTTTTGCATATGCTATTTTACATTTTGAGATGTCAATCATGAACTCAGACGTCTGAATTTTCTGTCAATAATGACTGGCCCAAAAAAAACAAAGGGAGTCAGAAGGCTTTGCAAATATTTTATTTACTTCACTGGCATTGCACATAATCCCCACCAAAGAAAAGAACATACCAATACCAAAAGAAAAGAAAAAGGGACAATTTTAAACCAGTCTGCATTTTGATTGGATGCATATTTTCCCTTTTTATCTAGTTACAAGAGAAGAGTATGTGCAGGGCTCATCACACTGGATGGCATTTCCTCTCACTGATGAACTTAAAGTAGCCGAACTGATCAAGTTCTCTATTGCTCATCGCCCATAGTACAGAACAAAACTACAAAGGGGGAAAAAAATTTCAAATATAAGGGCTTTCAGAGCAGATTTCTCTTTTTGTTTTCTTAATTTTAAATGGCTAAAGATGCATCAACCCAACCCTCCCTTCCCCACCAGTCCCTTCCTTTCCATCCATCCTTCTCTTTCTCTCTCCCTGACAGATAAATGATCCAGACCTCAAGTGGTGAATCAAGTTGGGGGAGGGACAAGGATGTAGAAGTGAGTGGCAAGTTGTTTTCACATGGGTTGAATGTTTGACGAGACAAGCAAGGTCCTACCCCCAAACTAACCCAACCGGGAACCTATGCAGCAACACAGGAAGAGCAAAATGTGAGGTACGAAAGAGAAAAACAAAAATAGAGGCAAAAGGTAAGAAAGTGGTAGATGACAGCAGTTATGGTTAAACATTTAGACATGGGGTGATTTTACTTATAAAACAGTTCAAAAACTAAAAGTAAACTGTGTAAACTCAAGTACATGCTTAATTGCCTTTGCCAACTGAAACTAAAATCAAACTCCTTTTTAAAATGGCATCACTTAAAGAGATAATTCACCCAAAATGAACATTTGCTGTTAATTTACTCACTATCAGGCTATCAAAGATGTAGGTGACTTATTCCTTCACCCCCCCCCCCCCCCCCAAACACACTTTTTACTCTCAAAGTGACAGTAGCCAATGACTTGCATTTAATGAATCCCCAATGTCCATAGTTTCAGCTAAAAATCTGTAATGTTCTACTGAAGTTAGATCTTAGATGACCTGAAGATGAAAATTAACAGCAAATTTTCATTTGTGGGTGCAAAATCCAAAATTTAGCCTTTCAGAAGTGGAGTTTAGTGTGTGGTCAAGCTGACATCTTATGCATTTCAGCAGCAGTTATAGTTTGAAGGCCAAAACTATTTACC